CTGCTCCCACCTCCTTCCTCCAGACAGCCAAGGAGAGGGATTCTTGTCAAGAAGGGAACACAGAGAGGCAGTTAAACTGTCATTTCCTCCCCTGGATTGTGGAATATCAGGCTACCTCACAAAAGAACTGTAAAAAATCAGCAGTCCTGTCTTACTTGGGACATGAAAACAGACTTTTAACAGTGCAATTTTAAGCAGAGTTACACCACAACTAAGCCACCACCTTCAACAGACTTAGAAAGGTGTAACTCTATTCACGATAACATTATACATCTATGGTGCATATAAAGGATAGGAAGATGTATTATGTAGCCCACATTGGCTACTGAGAGCTGCCCCATGACAGACATCCGAGCCACAGAACAAAGTTTGAACAGGTTCCTCCTTGTGTTCTGTCTGTAATATCGTGATCTAATAGTTTGCGTGACCAAAGTATCTAGTGGGGTTTTTCTATAAACAAATGTAAAGGCAATGGGGGGGGGGATCACAAGATCAAATTGGAACTCAAATCAAGCTTCTAAGAAATGGAATCAACTGTGTATGAAATTATTGTATGAAATTATACCGCCCAATTAATGGCAAGAAAAAACCATTCTTTTTCAGTATTGCAATTCCCCCATTTCACTGTTAGCTCCACAGTAGGAGATATATATATAATTGTATATTGAATAATTTTGCAAGATGGATAGCGCAACTATCAGGTGAAGAAATGGCTCTTTTGACAGGCTTTGCATAGCTAATACATATGAACACATGAAGCTGTGTTCTAGTGAATCAGACCCCTGGTCCATCAAGGTCAGTACTGTCTGTGCAGATTGCTAGCAGCTCGCCAACATCTCAGTGTAAGGTCTTTCACTTCACCTGCTACCTGATCCTTTTAACTAGATATACTGAGGATAGAACCTGGGAACTTCCACATGCCAATCAGATATTCTGCCACCAAGCCACAGCTTCTCTCAGTTTTAATAGTTAAAATTGCTTCCTGAGCTAGAAGATGCTTGCCTAAACTAGCATTGATTGCTCGTGGCTACTGGACATGCCCCGCCTTTTTGGATAGGGGATGAAGAGAAACAGTTCAGCAGCTGGATGTAGCTAAGGTCTGAGATTTAATTCCAGTGATAAAGCAATGGCTAACTGTGGGGGAGGGAGAAAGAAAGATAAGAAATTTTAAAAAAGACTCCTACCACACATTTATCCTGCCATTCCTCCAAGGGGCATGGGGTGGCATAGATTATTCTGTTCTCCTTTTTATTCTCACAACAACCCTGTGAGGCAGATTAGGTTGAGAGACACAGACTGGCCCGAGGTCACCCACGGAATTTAATGGCAGATTCCCTAGAGAATTGAACCTGGGTCTCCCTACTCCTATGATACTAAGCACTACATCACACTAACATGTTACAGTGAAAAACAGGTTGCTTACCTGTAACTGATGATCTTCGAGTGGTCATCTGTGCAGTACCACACATGGTGGGGTGCCTGCGTACGACCTCGACCAGAGAAACTTCTAGAGCTTTGCCTCAGAAAGCTTTTGGCGGGCTCTCTTCCCGCCCTGGGGAGCAGGCACGTACTGTGCATGCCTGGAGTGGGGGAGAGAGCCGCCTCCCACTCAGTTCCTTCGACCGCTACCGGTAAGTCCCATCAAGCCAAAGAAAGGTGAATAGGAGATGCCAGCAGTGGGGAAGGCTGGGTGGGATTGTGGTACTGCACAGATGGCCACTCGAAGATCATCAGTTACAGGTAAGCAACCTGTTTATCTTCGTCGTGGTCTCTGTGCAGTTCCACACATGGGTGATTACAAGAGCTGAACCAGTTGGAGGAGGGACCTGGCAGCTGCAAGAGACACAAATGACACTGGTTAAGACACAGCATCATCAGTGAGAAGAAACACCCACGGGTCCTACCTGGGGATGCAGCAGGGTCAAGCGAAGAGAGATCACAGCACCAAGTGGCCGAACGCAGCATCCCGTCGAGCTCGAACGTCGAGTGCGTAGGGGGTCACGAAGGTCGATGCCGAGGACCATGTAGCAGCCGCACAGACGTCCTCCAACGGGACACCAGCCAGGAAAGCGGTGGATGTCGATACCGCCCGTGTAGAATGGGCAGTGACAGAGGTAGGAACGGGTTGACGTGCGAGCTCATAGCAAAGGGCTATGGTGGAAGTCACCCACTTGGAGAAACGTTGAGAGGAAATAGGCTCCCCGAGGTGAGGGGGCCCATAGGCAAGGAACAGCTGAGGAGATTTATATATAGGCTAAGACCTGTGTAAATAGAAGGAGAGCGCTCTGCGCACATTGAGGCAGTGGAGGGCTCTCTGAGGTGCATCAGTCGGATTTGGAAAGAATGAAGGTAAAACAGACAACTGGGACAGATGGAAGGCAGAGATGACTTTAGGCAGGAAAGTAGGATCTGGCCTAAGGACAACCTTCTCGTTATGAAAAATTGTATAGGGGGATCAGCCCGAAAGGGCAGCTAGTTCCCCTACTCTGCGCGCAGTAGTAATCGCTATAAGGAAGGCAGTTTTCCAGGAGAGTAACCTGAACTCGGCCGTGGCCATGGGCTCGAACGGCTTAGACATCAGTTGAGTGAGAACGAGAGAGAGACTCCATGAAGGCACCAAAGGCTTCCTAGGGGGACAGAGGTGGAGGAGACCTTTGAGGAACAACTTGGTAAGGCGGTGGGAAAAACCCGTGGATCCCTGTATCAAGGGATGGTAGGCCGAGATGGCTGCTAAATGGACCTTTAAAAACAAGTATGCCAGGCCACTATTTAACGAGACAAGATAGGAAAAAATCTCATGAAGAGACGACTGGAGAGGATCAAAGGAGTGATCAGAGGCATACGACTGGAACCTCTTCCACTTTATATTTATTTGTTTATATATTCGATTTCTACCCCGCTCCAACCCCGAAGGGTCTCTGAGCGGCTTACAAGTTCCAAATTTATCCCTAGCTAAGGCCACATATCTACAGGGGTTGGGGCTGCCTACCGGCACCCATGTGGCAGGGCTCGCTGTTTTTTTCCTTAGTTGTTCTTTCTCAGGCGGACTTTTGGGTGTCAGTGCTCGCCTCCTGGTGTGGTCGTCTGGTCCGGCGGCTTCTTCTTTCTCTTTTTCTTTTGGCGGGCTCGTCTGGTATTACAGCCCAGCTACGTCCGTACGGCTCCGCTGCGCTTGCGTCACGTCGCAACGTCCTTCTGTAGCTCCGCCTCTGTCTCCACCTCCATCGCTTCACTTGCCTTCGCTCTGCCGCTCCGACGCTAAGCCACTCCATCGCCGCCATTTCCGCCGCCACCACCGCAGTCGCTTCTACTGCTCCTGCCACACACACCCTTACGGAGCGTAAGTGGCACGGGTAGATGGCTTCCTAGCATTCAAAAGGACTTCAGACACTTCAAGTGGAAAGTCTAATGCAGGATCTTCCAGGCTGTTAATCAGAAGAAACCGGGATCAGGGTGGAGAACCTTTCCTTGAGCCCGAGAGAGGAGATCTGGGACGACAGGGAAAGGACGGAATGTCTCGTTGGATAGCCGAAAGAGGTGCGGAAACCAGACTTGGCGCGGCCACCATGGAGTGACTAGGATGCAGGACGTTGCATCGGCCATAATCTTTTGAACGACCCGGGAGATCAAGGGAAATGGAGGGAAGAAATAAAATAGGGTTCCCGTCCAGGTGTGGAGAAAGGCATCTCCCAGGGACCGAGCGGATGGTGGACCGCGGCTGAAAAAGCGGGAGCACCGAGCATTGTGTGCAGTTGCAAAGCCGTCTATGGCAGGGCGACCAAACTCAAGGAAGACAGGTTTCAGGTATCGAAAGTGAATGGACCATTCGTTGTCCGAAAACTGGGAGCGACTCAAGCGATCGGCGTCTATGTTTTGAACATTCCAGTGATGTGGATCGTAGAGAGCGTGATGGAGTGGTGGATACACCATTGCCAGAGATCGATAGCCGTCTGGCAAAGACGAAGGGAGGCTGTCCCGCCTTGTTTGTTTATGTAGTAAACTGTGGTGGTGTTGTCGGAGGCAACCTGAATGACTCATCCTCGAAGGACAGGGAGAAATGAGCAGAGGCCTAGGTAAACGGCACGCAGCTCCAGGATATTGATATGAAGGGCGGCTTTGCGAGGAGACCAGATCCCTTGTGCCAAAAGGATTCCGCACTGGGCTCCCCAACCCCAGAGGGATGCGTCGGTAGAGACTGAGACTTGCGGAGAAGGATGCCGGAGAGCAGGTGGTGAGGATGAGACCACCAAGCAAGAGAGCGGATGACAGGGGGTGGATTGACAGGATTTTGTGCCACGGACTGCGGAGAGGGTCAAAGGTACGGAGAAGCCACAGTTGGAGGGGACGCATCCTCAACCTGGCATGACGGACGATGAAGACAGTAGACGCAAAATGCCCCAGTAGCCTCATAATGGACCGAGCAGACTGGTGGGGAGAGGTCTGGAACTGGGAGACCAAAGTAAGTATGTCGGAGGCCCTGGAATTCGGGAGAAATGCGGTCTCGAGGTTGGTATCGAGACGGACTCCCAGGAATTGAAGGGCCTAAACAGGTTGGAGAGACGACTTGGTTGACACAAAGCTCGAGGGCACGAAGGAGGGACAGGGTGGTTTGGAGGTCTTGGAGGAGCTGGTGTTGGGTGGAGGCAACAAGAAGCCAATCGTTGATATAGGGATACAGGGCAACCCCGACGATGGAGGTCTGCAGACACCACAGCCATCAGCTTGGTAAAAACCCTCGGAGCAGTGCAGAGTCCGAATGGAAGGACCCGATATTGGTAGTGTGTGTTGCCGACAGCGAAACACAGGAACTTTTGATGCTGTGGATGGATAGTGACATGAAAAAAGGTGTCCAGGAGATCAACAGAGATGAGCCATGCTGCTCGGGGAATCAGTGGGAGGATAGATTGTAGGGTGACCATTCAGAACTTGTGACATCGAATGTATCGATTCAGATCCCGAAGATCCATAATGGCCCTGAAGCCGCCATCCCTCTTCGGTACGAGGAAATACTTGGAGTAGAAGCCTAGAGTTTGTTGCGCTTCCGGGACGACCTCGATGGCACCTTTGGCAGAAGCGCAGAAATTTCGGAATCAAGGAGAGGATCCGGGGGAGTGACGACATAATGAGGTAGGTCGGGAGGCGAAACGAACTCTATGGTGTACCCGACCCGTAAGATGGTAAGGACCCAGATATGGGTTGAAATTTCTTCCCACTTTCGTAGAAAGGGGAAGAGTTGGGTCCGGACAGGAGGGGTATAAGATGGAGGAGATGGCAGGCAACATGGGTTTTTTAGGGGATTTTTAGGGGCCTGTTGGCACACCCGATTAGGGTAACGGGAGTCATAGGGCCTCTTTCTCCAATTGGAGGTGGGTGCAGGAGATGGCTGACGTCTGGCATAATATAGTTTCCACGAACAGAACTGGCATCGAGGTGCCGATGCCGAGACACTGAGGTTCTGTGCCTGCTTCCGACTATCATCAACAGCCTTTAAGGCTTCATCAGTGGTAGAGTGGAAGAGACCTTCGCCATCGAAGGGGAGATCCTCAATGCGGAATTTCACGTCTGGCTGTAAAGAGGTACCTCTTAGCCAAGCATGACAACGGAGGCCCACGGAGGAAACAAGAACCTTTGAGGAGCAAGTGACAGCATGATGGACTGAATTAATTTGCTGTTTCGAGATTGTGCAAATTTCTGATAAAGCTCCTGACAAGGTCGGACGGTGTTCCTCTGGAACAAACTGTAAGATGGGACGGACTGCATTAGCCTCATGAAAGGCATAGGCCGAGAGATATGACAGGTAGGTGTCAATACGAAGATTCATAGAAGCGAAGGAATACAGCTTCCTCGCAATATCATCAATTTTGTGGCCCTTGCGATCGGGAGGCTCAGAGTGGTGGGCAGATTGCTTCGATTTCGAAGAAGATTGTACAACCATGGAATTCGGCGGAGGCTGTTTAAAGAGAAACTTCCCTGAGCTCTCTTGGACCTTCTAGAGAGCTTCATATTGTTTGGTGACTGGGGGAATGGAAGCGGGATGAACCCATGTCTCCTTGAGGGTAGAAAGGTGGACCGGCAATAGAGGCAGGACCGTAGAAGGCGGGAGGTCAGCCTGAACAAGTTTGTGAACGACGTCACAGCCGGGGATTCAGTGGAACCCTGGACCTGAAGCGCGGATGCCAACCTGGTTACAAGTTCCAGATACGCTTTCGGGCCTTCAGTAGGTGAAATAGACCCCGAGGGCTGAAGCTCATCTTCGATGTGCGGAACATCGAGTTCGAGGTCTGCCGAATCCGAGTTGTAGGATATCGACATGGAAGAGTAAAATCTCCGCTGTTGAGTGAGATCAGCCAGTATCGAGTCATCAACAGGGGGATGAAGCCCAGGTTCTCATAGAGAACACTTAGGGGCATCACTAGGTCTCGAGAGGGTAGGAGACTGGTCAGGGGCAACAGAACGGGCTGAAGCCACGGACCGAGATCGTATGGTGCGATCCAAAGAGCGTGGATGCTCATGACGTTCAAAGTGACGAAGGTGATCATACCAGTGTCGGCGAGGAGTAGGAGATGTCACCTCAGATAATACTAAGGATAGTAATCTGGCCGATCTCGTTCATCAGACCAGTATTGGTTATCAGAAGGTGATCCCGAGGGAGAAGGCGAATGGTGATGAATAAGACGCTTTCTTTTTTTAATAATAATATATTTATTGGGTTTTTACCATTATGAACCAATGCTGTACATACAAACACATTAAACAACAAGATTACATTAAAAAAAATTCCTAAGACATCACATTTTCTTCACCGCAGCACAGAGAAACCTACCCTTTACTCATCTTTTACACCAATATACTCTTCTTCTTAATCTTACATTCACATCTGCGTTGAAAAGTTCTTAATCTATCTTTAACACTTCTTACTGCTAATTCCAGTCAGTACAATGATTTATAACTTTATTTTAGCTCCTTACTCAGCTCTACTATCTTTATTCCGTTCTAAACCCTCCTAAAGCATCTTGTTGATTCCCTTACATACAGCACGGGGGCACAATCGAGATCGAGATTGATGGTCAGTGGAATGCTCCCTGCCCTCCAAATGGTGGATCGGGGTATGGGAGTGTGGCGACGCAGATCGAGAGTCCCGTTGACAAGACAAGTCAGGAGGGGATCTCGTAGATTGACCCAGCAGAATAAGGCCCGAAGCTGAAGAGAGCATAGGAGGCGATGTCGGAGGCCGTAAAGTGGACTTGTTAGGTACAACAGCCACAGCAGGGGTCGACGTCGTTAAGCCAGTAATGACAACTGGGTCGACAGCCGAAGTGGAAGCCGATGTCGAGGGCTTAACTTTTGATTTCGAGGAAGCCTTGACCTCAGGCCGTTGAGATTTCAACTTTGGTGCCTTCGAAGAGCAATCTGATTTTTGAGAGACAGTTGAAGCCATGGCAGGGCGCAAGGCTGCCTCTAAAAGCACAGCCCTAAGGCAAGTCTCCCTATTACGTCGAACTTGTCTAGTAAAACTAGCACAATGGACACAGGTATCAACTCTATGTGATTCCCCAAGACAAAAAAGGCACAAATCATGACCGTCGTTTGAGGTACGTTTAGCTGGGCAATAACGGCACAGTTTTAAACACTTTGTTTTGCCCATACGTTCTCCCCCCCAATCACTATAAATTAAAGGGGGGGGGAGAGAAAAAGAAAGGATTTTTTAAAATGTATGTATGTATGTATGTATGTAGTAACAAGAAAGTTCAAGAATGAAGACGGAAGGGAATGAAAAAGAGAAAAGAGAAATGTATACTTAGCTAAGGCAAGTATGGAGCGACAGAAACGAGGTGTGAACACACAGACGGTCCAAGAAGAACTGAGTGGGAGGCGGCTCTCTCCCCCGCTCCAGGCATGCGCAGTACATGCCTGCTCCCCAGGGCGGGAAGAGAGCCCGCCAAAAGCTTTCTGAGGCAAAGCTCTAGAAGTTTCTCCGGTCGAGGTCGTGCGCAGGTGCCCAACCATGTGTGGGACTGCACAGAGACCACGACGAAGATCGTACTTTTATCCTGCATGTACATGCCTTTGTATTCCGTTTTAGTAACAGGTTGCTAATGGATTTTTTCTATCATTTCAGACAGACCCATTTTAATAACCAGTTGCTAGCAGAATTTATTTACCTGTTCATACAAATTCACTTGCATTGGGTTAGCAAAGCTTGGCTGAGTTGCTTTTGGGGGAAACTGCTTTCTTCCATTTTCTGAATTGCTGTGGCATGCTGTTTAAAATGTCCATAGGCCCTTCCTACAATGCCACCCCCCCCGCTGCCCTTTTTCGCCATGTAATCTTCCTCAGACTTTCTTTTGAACCTTCTAAGTTGAGCACTATAGCGCTAAAGCAATATAACATTTTAGTGCTATAGTGTGCATCAATGGAGTCAAGGCATCTCAATGGTGCTGCTATAGTACTGAAGTGCTGTATCTGTTTAGTGCTATAGTACTCAGAACATTCAAAAGAAAAAGTCTGAGGAAGATCGAAATTGGGCCAACAGCAAATAACATTCAGTTTAGAACGGTAATGTGAAAAGGACCATAAAGAGAAATCAAGTGGACAGCATATCTGGACTGTACACATGTTCACTGTAACTTGAGAACAGGGCTAATGACTCTCACAAAAGTGATTAACTCACTGTATACTGTCAAAACTGTAAACACATGCAAGGTCACAGACTCTCTTCTGTAAAATGGAAAAAAAAATCACCAGTGGCTATCTTCCAAGTCAGAGCAGACAAAAGGCATGGTTCTGAAGAGAAAGCCACTAGTGTTGAGCAGGGTTTGCTGGCAAAAGAACTGCCAGCTTATCACCAGAACTAATTGTTTTTTGCACACAGCTGGCAAGGAGGAAGGTGTGCATGTATGTGTGGGGATTCCAATGTGTTGCTGCTTCCCTGATCCAACAAAAAAAGGGCTTGATGTTGGAAGGCAGGAATACTTTGGCCACCAAGTGAGAAGGGAGCACTCACTGGAGAAGACCCTGATGCTGGGAAAGATTGAAGGTCAAAGAAGACGGGGATGGCAAAGGATGAGATGGTTAGACAGTGTCATAGATGCAACGAACATGAAGATGAGCAAACTTCAGAGGACGGCGGAAGACCGGAAGGCTTGCCGTGATCTGGTCCATGGGGTTGCAAAGAGTCAGACTCGACTGTGCGACTGAGCAACAAAAAACACCAGAGGCAGAGCAATCACGCCAGAGAACAAAACTAGGAAAGGGACTGGTTTTTCCCAGAGGGGGCACCTCAAAGCTAACTATCAGACCACACTTTTTCTCCCACACAGTAAAGGGCTTTGTCCTCATTAGCAGCTCATTATGCGTGTCTTCCAGCAAATAGCAAAACCCCTGTTATGCCAATGAAAGGAACAGCACTCCATCAAAATGGCTTGAGCAGGCCAAAAATGCTGCCCTCCTCACTAAGCAGCCGTTAAACAAAACACTGTGATTGGTTTTACCTTAGGGGTGTGCAGTTTTTTTTTAAATTTGGTATTATTCAGTTTGTGTCTATTGGAACCTAAAAAAATTTTGGTTTTTCCAAAAAATCCCAGATCCCAATACTGGCATGGTAGTTGGATCTGGGATTTTTCGGAAATCCCACAATTTTTCAGGTCCAATAGACCCAAGGAGAAAAACACCAGATTTTTTTTTTAAAAGCCAGCCCAATCCTGGGGCTGGGGCTGGGGCTGGCTCTGCTTCTCCTGCAGCCTGGTTTAAATTGCGCTACAGGAGAAGCCAGCTCCAGGATCTGTGTGCCTTGGGGCAGATCCTGGCTCAGACAGCTTCTCCTGCAGTGTGGTCTAAACTGGGCTGCAGAAGGAGCCAGACCCAGGATCGGTGTGCCCCGGGGAGATTGCTCCCTGAGGCATGCAGATCCTGGCTGGGACACCTTCACCTGCAGCCTGGTTTAAATCAGACTGCAGGAGGAGCCAGTCCCAAGCTGAGCCGGCAGAAACAGTCTACTCCCCCTGGCACAGCCGATCCTGATCCTCAGGCTGTCTTCTGCAGTCCCTTTAAGCTTTAAAGGGACTGCAGTAGAAGCCCAACGAACAGCTCTCCTCTGCTTTAGAATCTACCATAATTCCTGAATATATTCAAGATTTTTTCTGGATCCCTCCCCCCTGGTTTTTTCCGAGTAAATCCAGATACATTTGGAATGCTGAAAAATACCAATAAGGTGTTTTTTGGGTATATTTTCAGTTTGGGTAGACCCGAATGCACACCCCTATTTTACCAGATTCCTTGACAATAGAGATATCTTCAGAAAAACTTACCCTGGAAGACCTTTTACACTGAAAAGAGAAGCATAAGATCAACAGGCTCAGAAAACTGCAATCCTATCTTGTGAGAATTAAGGTTACCAGCCCCAAGGTGGGACCTGGAATTCTCTTAAAATTATAATTGACCTCCAGATCAGATCCTCTGGAGAAAATGACAGCTTTGGAGGACAGACGCTGTGGCAGAGGTCCCCAACCTTTTTGAGCCTACAGGAATCTTTGGATTTCTGATGCAGTGAGGGGGAGCCAGCCACACAATCGCTTCTATAGATTTCTTTCAGTCAATGAAGATATCTGTGCTGTTGTATCAGCTGCTGCCCAAGGATTGCAGGGTCAATCGTATTTCCAATGGCCCATCAGAAGCATTGCTGGGCAAAAGCCCCACCAGGTCCTACCCAATTTCTAAAAACACTTGGCAGATGCCAAGAAAGATGCCATGGGGGACCCCTACTCTATGGTAGACTACAGAGCCTAGAGTGACATCACATCCTTTCCTCCCAAACTCCACCCCCCCCATCCCCAGCACTGCCCCAAAATCTCCAGGATCTTCCCAAGCAGGAGTCATCAGTCTTAGTAGGAAACCTAGCTTGGGTTGTGTGCATTTTGCACAGAAACATTGGCACTGAGTTTTGGTCTCCCAGGGCACCCAACCTTTGTTTACCTTTTGTAAACAAGCTTCTAGCCTTTCCAACAATGGGGGAAATGTTTGAGAACAGGAATGACAGCTCATGGAACCTCAGGAGCCTGGCAGTGCTTGAGTGGGGCTTCGATAGCAATTTAGCCATCGTGCTTCAACACCGGGGGGCTTCTCAGCACTAACCAGATTCTTTCCACGTTGGTTGCACGAGGGGCCTGTGGTTTAGGAGTGCCAAGGAAACAGACACGTGTGACCTGGAAGGTGCTGACTAAATTTTAATCGGTAGAGAAAATATTTTACTTTTTTTTCCACACACCAGCATCTCCAGTGACCAGAGCTGAGGGAACAGCGGTACCACTGGGGCC